GTACGTACTCATAATATTTGAGTGCAGAACAAGCCACTGCTGCAAATACGATATGTTAAGGTAAAAAGATTATTTTGTTACATATGCACATATGGAATCTTACTTCTCGATATCGATATGTATGTATATCTCAAACTAAGTACTTGCTCAAAGTAGTATTCTTTCAAAGTGGTATTCCGCAACAAAGATCCACTTTAAAGGGAAACGCATTACGATTATCGGAAATAAACTCCGTTTGTCTCTCATATACACTGTAGCCAATAGCAATTATTCAAAATCGTTACGTAAACAGGATGCGAAACTGGATCTATATCAGAACTTATGAATTTGGAAGACCTCTATTGGCGACAGGCGCGTCTAGAACCTGTCTTCGATAGGTTGTTTTCCATATTTAATCATATGTGCAGTTTCGAATTCGGAGTATACTTTACGAAATACTATTTTCATACCCAGATTCATTCGAACCTTTTTGGTTAAAATCTAATCTATGTATAAGAAAACTTATAAATAATAATCATGAGAATAATAATAGTCATAATGAATCATAATGATAGTGATAATCATAATAATAGTAATAAGAATGATAGTGATAATAATAATAATAGTAATAAGAATGATGATGATAATAATAATAGTAAAAAGAAAAAAAACATATGTAAGTGCAAAAATATCTATATGCACATTCATCAATACTTATTATGAACATATTAAATCTCATCATGTTTATTAACCTATAATTAACTGTATTACAATCGGATAAACTCAAAAAAGGGATCGAATTAATCCATTCGAAACCAAAGAAAGATGTGTATCAAAATGAAATTTGGTGTAATCTGTACGGAAGTTTCTATATGATTAAAACGGGTTTCATCAATTGTTGTTTATTTTGAATCCAACATCATGAAATCTAATAAAACAATGTATTTAAGCAATCAAGAAAGATGCATGCAAATATGCACCTTGCATCTGATTTTCCAACAAAGAAATCTTAATTCCCGAAATTAAAAGAATGATCTTGTCTTTAATTACCGGAGTTTAATGTAATAGTTTAATTTATACAACATGAAAGATTTTTAAAAACAATTGATCCGGAATTTGTTTCCGGGATACCAATGCGTCATTCGTACCATTCTCGATCATAGTATGTACGTGCATACACGTATGTGTATACGTATGTGGTGCAGTATCATGTGTGTATAATGACATAACCATAGCAAAGACTCTACCTGATTCGTCGATCATGTTTTCGATAGGATTAACCTAAAAAGGGTGGTCGCTTTATTATTCAAAATACTTTTTCAAAAAAAGTGGCACGTACGAACTGTATTCTTAATCTTGTGAGTTTTTAGGAGAATTGTTTCCACAACATTAAACTAAACTCAATGGCTAGTAATAACCGACGAAGGCGGCGCGTGTACGTAACACGTAATATTTCTAAACCAATGAAAATAAAGATTTCACCAAAGTTAAGCAACGTTCTGATCATAATTTGAAACAACAATTTCAACCCACAACGCTGGTATCACGTCATAATCCTGTATATGTATTAGAAGAGTCACATCACACCCAAATACATATATTTAAACAACTAGAAAACAAGAAAATTACTATTAGTTTATATGTCCGTGAATTTAATATGTATATATAAGGAATATAAAATTTTATCGTTTAAACCACATTCTTAACATATTTTACATTATACGTATAATGCGTTGTTAATCTAGTGTTAATATAGTTAGATTTATACTGTGATATCTTTGTTTACAACTCGCGATTTTACATGATGTTACACCCACCCGCCACTTTAACACTAGCCACACGATGATGATTACACATAGACCGAAACTCCGTGTGCATAATGATCTGAAATTATAAATACAAGGCATTTATTCTCGTCGTTAAAAATCACCGTGGATAGAATTTCATAGTCCTTATTAAATAGAATATAGAGAGTAAAAATTTACAGTTATTGATCAAAATGGTTCATTACGAATTCACGGAAACAGTTAGTGATAATGGATCGGAACAGGAGCTTTCAATCGATTCTTCACCCAAAGAAGTTTACTGTGAAGATTGTGATAAAGCGAGATCGAATGGCGGCAAACTTATTGAGAACAAAGAATCTTTTGATCACGTGAAATCTTTAACAGAAACACATGTAAAATTACCATTCCCTCCGACAATAGTTCCTAAGGATTTAGTAGATGCTCTGTTATTGAAGAGCAAGTCCCAATCTCCGAAAATGTTGAACGAATTCTTTATTTACAGGAAAGTTTTTGTTCAAGAGCTTCGGAAGCAAAAACAACGCCTCAAAATGACGCGAGCATCGAAGCTCGCATCAAGCTCGTGGCATTCAGAGTCTCCAAAAGTGAAGAACGAATACAGGAGACTCGCACGGGAAGTGGAAAAACTTTATATAGATGCTATGAAGGAAAGGTTACGAGCTCAAATTAACGAAAAAACTGATGAACAGAATAAATCCTTCGAAAATATCGTAAATCCTACCCATACTAATTCTACCATTGAAGTTTCTGATGATTTCAGTAACGGTAACGATAAAACAGGACCCTCTTTACCAACCGAGGTAAAATCATGCACATCATCAGAACAATACACAAACACTAACCCATGTTTGGATGATTCCACATTTGTGCCATATCGATATCCAACTTTAAACGATTCAGTCAGTGACTCATATATACAGTATCAGGATAATGTATATATGCCAGACCATGATGGTAACATGCATCTTTTGGACTTGTCAAATACAATGCCATATATGCATCTTTTGGACTTGTCAAATACAATGCCATATTCGTATCAGACCGTCCCTTTTGAATTCCCGGTATATTCATTACAACAGAATATACAACCAAATATTTATTATATACAAGATTTAAAATCGTACATGACAAATGAAAATTTGTCAAATTTAACGAATAATTTTAACGTTTCTTATGTTAATTCGTATACTACCAATATTACCGATTTCACTTCAACATCTTTTCAATCGTTATCTGTTGAAGAATCTTGGGCGGATATAGGAAATCACAACAACTTTCTCGATAACAACAATTATTATCCTACCGAAAATGCTCAATACTAAACAAATCGATGACTCGTTTTTTTTTTTTAAAGCAAAATTGGAACATGAAAATTTCGTGAATGTTAAATATTTATCAAAATAATAATAAGCTTTTTTTTATCTTTTAATTAATTATGAACAAGCATTTAATGATTCAAAATTCGTTTTTTTTTTTTTACTTAAAAAACCTAACCATGGTTTATTTACTTATTTTACAAATTGATAACTTATGTGTGTCTAGTGCGTACGAGATATATAAGATATATACATACGAAATATATACTATGATATATATGCTACGATATATAGTACGATATACACTACAATGTACACTACGACGATATATACTATGATATATACTATGATATATACTATGATATATACTATGATATATACTATGAAATAATATACAAACCCGATATATATATATATAAGAAAGGGAGACTTTTTCGATAAGATTAATAAAAAATAATAATTTATGAAAAGAGTTATGTTAAATACCAGAACAAAACCCAATAAAAATAAATAATAAGAATAAATAATTATGCCACTTTTTTCTTAATGTTCAATAGACATATCAAAGATATAGCTACTTTAAAATTATTACTATAAATAAATAAGGAATTTTTTAACACTTATATTCACTACAAGTTTGAAAAAAGAACAAAATATGCATAGTGAAAGAAGTCATAAGATACTTATATATGTAACCAAATGAAATATATATATATATATATATTTAGAAATTAGTAAAGTATCACTAAAAACTTATTAAAAATAACTTATTCTATGTTCATTGTGTTCACATGTGGACAAAAAAAATGATTGTTGTTCATTACAAAAAATTGATTGTCCTTCATTATAAAAAAATGATCGTTCTTCATTATAATAGCCGGCATCGTCAAGAATAAAACTGTAAGGTAAAGGTTCATCTAAAATATTATAATAGTATAACGGATGAGGTGGAAGCAAATATGGTGGATTCGTAACACCTTTTATTTCGGTAGGAGATGGTGGTACAGGTTCTGTTAATATTGTTGGTTCCGTAGGCTTTATTGAATTTGTTAGAGGTTCATGGTTAGGTTTCTTAGGTTTTTTCCCTCTAGATTCATTAAGTTTTTTCACTTTAGATTCAGTAGGTTTAACATTATCTCCATATTTTTGATGATGTAAATTAGCAGCTTTAATAGCAAGCTCTTTATAATAATTTCTAACTTGTTCAGGTTCTTTTTTCCATAATTCAGCAATGTGTTTTGAAATTTCCGTCATAGGATAAGTTCTTCCAATAGCTTTTAATTCTTCAACATAAGCTTTTCTGTAAAAGAACCAACCATTTGCAGCCTTTGTTTTTCTTTGATTAGGTTTTGTTTGGTCTAAAAAAGCCCTTTCATCAATTTTTGGAGGGAATGGTAAACTTTCTAAAGGTTCAACTTTATTCGGATTACGCATTCTTTTTAGGAATTCACGTACTATTGCATTATCCTTTTCATTAGGTGCAGAAGGATTTTCTTCAAGTATAAGAAGCATTGATAATAAAAATAGTTAGATATATCTTATTAAAAAATACAAGTGTATATTGAGTAATATCCAATAATTTTGGATAAGGATTTAGTAAAGTAAAAAATGTAGGTTATTTATTGAAATTTTTTTATGTCTGCATGAATTCATTTTAGGAAGTTAAGACAATGTTATTACACAACATATTAGATTTATTATAAATAAGGTAATTTATTCAGTCAACGCTTCAAGAAAAGATCATCTAATCATAAGTTATACGCATAAAGGAACTTGTTTTCCGGAAATAAAACAATATTATTAATTCTTGAATGTATTACATAAAGCTTCTCTTAAGTTTTGCCAGGTGGCATATGGCAATTTAGCAATTAGCTTTTTAGTAATTTTTAAGAAGTGTGTTATCATGTTGACATATTTTGACATTTTAAAGAAAGAAAAAAAGCTGTTAATTGTGGTAATGTTAAAATGAAATATTTGTAGTCATGTGCCCGTAGGTTATATTGGAATGAAGTCTTTGTGATCGCACTTTAGGCTATTGGACACGTGTTAATGTTCTTAGAATTAAGTAAAGTCTATGACCTCTTTTGGAACGTTGCTTTTTTTAAATGCGTTATAAAAAGATTCTTATCATAGTAATTCGTATTTCTCACGAGAGTAAATATTTGCCCTGGTTAGACGCGATTATAATTACCAAATTGAAAAAGCAAACATATATTTATAAAATTGGTTATAAATTGGTAGATTTTTTTGACTATAATAAATTATAACAGGAAATATTTCTTTATTATTGTATTAAAGCTTGCAAGTAATTATATTAATACATGAAACTTATGTATTATTATATTGTGAACTATTTTCATTATTTTTATAGTCATACGATGATGGCGTTTTGATATCCATATATCATTTGCATTCGTTTGTGCTAAGATCACATCTGCACAACAGAGATGAGGCTATGCTACAGCAATTAAGATGTTAGCCCAGTCTACAGTAGGTAAAAATTTAAACCTTTGCCTTATTCTGTAACTCGGAAATAAAGATCCGTAAACGCAAACCTGTATTTGTTAATTATGAAATATTTTATCTTCAGTCAAAATTTTTTTTTTTTTTTTTTTTAACAATCAAAGAATTATGTAAAAATAAAGTGTATACTGTAGCTGCAGTAAAATTCGGAAACCACTATCCGGTTGATCAGTAAATCTGGATTTTTTTCTAATTTGGCAAAATTCATAATGCATGCCAAATTTGTAAAAATTTGTACATATTTAAGTAATTGCGCCTCTGGGTTACTATTTACGTAGATAATTGATAGTTGTATAACAAATAAATTTACAGTACATACATACTAATTTTGGATCAGTGTTCAACATTATCTTAACAATAATAAATTACATATCAGTTGATAAAATAAGTCACTCAGTACTTTTAAGAATAGATGACATAATAAAATCCGTAATCTTCTCAAGGTAAAGTACATTAGTATAGCTTGTGAGATGTTATCTGCAGGAAGCCAAATTTACTTTACTAACAACAATTAATCTCGTAAAGTTCTTTTATTCCGCCAAATGAGTAAATTCATTTTATATCACTTACAGCTTATTTAGCGAACCAAAAATCAATTCATTAACAAGTTCATTTTTCTGATGAGTTTAGTTCGTCAGCAAAAAAAGACTTGTTCAAAGATATTGGTTCATCTTTGGCTTCGTGATACATAAATAATTTAATTTTGTAATACACTATAAATTTTTCTCTTGCTTTACACATATTTATTTGCTTTCATGTTTGACTTCTATTGACATAATAATTTAATACGTAGTCGGAGAAAACATTAGATTTTGCATCTATTATGTGTCCTTTTTGGAATTCTCCAAGTTTTGTATTTTTTTTTTTAATTCAAATTCTTTCATGATATAGTTTAGTATTTGCATTTAGGTTTAGTATTTAGGGTTATAGTTAAAGTTTAGTAAAGGTTTTTGAGGGGGTGTAGAACATTTCGCTTAAAACACTACATATCAATTACCTAATTAATTAGGTTTCGAGATAATGTATGCGTTTTAGTAAATAGTGAAATAAAATTTATCGCTATTGGTAATTTGAAACTTTGATAAAGCGATAATGTGAACTCTCCGCGGATCAGCTTATTTAATGTCGCTATAAATATTATCGTTATATCTTTTATACGTATCTATATATTACATTTATTATCTTTAAGTAAGCAGGGTTAAGACCTACATAAACATAATAAATCAATGCATAGGTGATATAACGCTCATAATTTTGTCCATATATGCAAGATCACTACAAATCCCGTGCTTTTCATGAGCAGAGTGCACAGTTGTACATGAAATTTTTTTCCCTACGTAGAACATGTACGTAGACTACTTTCATTGAGCGTGAACACGAATCCAGAAGGTGCTTTTTTGGAACCTTTTACCAGAGTAATGGAGAGTTTGTGTCTGATTTCACAACAGCATTGTCGAACAAAATTCCGCTATTGTCTTTATATATTCAGCACAATCAGTAAACTTTACCCTATCATTGATATATCCTAACAATCAGAATCGTAATTCAAACTATAGCGATACTGAAAAAAAATTTTTTATACGTATTTTTTTTAAATTATTCAACTAAAAAAGCAACATGGATTTCTAGAAACTTTTTATTTACTTTACACACATTTTCATTGACAAAAATAAAGATAAATAAATAAAAATAGCGGCTTACTTAAACAATATCATGCTAAATTTATAATTCTATTATTCACCGATACTGTACTGTACATGTATCATATAGCGGGATAAAATAATTTGGTTCTAAAAATACACATGAAAAAGATAACGATAAGGAATAATCTATACACATCATTATTCTTTGATATAAATATATCGATATTGTAATATCCCGGTAATGTAATATCCCGGTAATTAGGTAATTACGGAATTTTTTTTGGTACGCATTCAATCAGATAAATTAACGTTTTTTTTATTCAATCGGATAAATTACCGTTTTTTTTCTTTTTATGCATTCAATCGGATAAATTAATGTTTTTTTTTTAAGTAATCAAGTTTCTAAAATGAAAAAGTTTCATTCTAATACGTACGTACTAATGTTGAAACAAAAGGAATTTCTATTCCGTACGTATCTTTTTTTTTTTCTCCATTATGTTGCCAAAATTAGCATATTATCAATTAAGCTTAAATAATATATGCTTGATTTGGTAATATAAATCTGTAAACAAAATTTTAAAGTATGAAACATGAATTGAGATTTTTAATTTTAATATATGTGTGTATGTATATTTTGTATATATATTTGTTTAGTATGTCTATTATTGTTAAACAATAAATGTCCATTTGTATGTCTATCATTGTTAAACAATAAATGTCCATTCAATGTTTTGTCTAATTGAATAAAAATTTTCAATAATCGCCAAAAATGAAATAGCATGTATGCTAAATAAACATGATTAACAAAATCAAGTGTTACATCTTTTTGATAAATTACAATTATTGAACTAGTTATGTTTATTAAATGTATTATTATTATTTTTTTTTTTTATTAATTCTCATTTGGCTTCATTTCCCCCTATCGTAATCTTCTTTATTGTCAACATATCTAACATGTTTTTCATCATCAACATATCTATCTTGTTCATCATCAACATATCTATCTTGATTGTTGCGTATACTTGATTCAACAATTTGTCCATGACCATTATCCTCGTCTTCACTATCTCCAAAATGATCAACATTATCTGACTGAAATAGAGGTGTTTCTATTACCAACTCATCCCTAGTTTTTATAAAAAATATAAAGTTAATAATAATTACAATGAAAAAAAAAAGAATTTTCAATGATAAAGAAACTAGTAACGAATAATACATTTCATTATTTGAACTCTCAACGACAGCTTTCATTGTTTGACTAATGCTCTTTTTACGTTTCAATTTTCCGCGGTATACAAAGGCTGCTAGGGAAACAACACCGCAAATAACAATTATGAGCGTAATGGTTCCACTATATTCATTAAATTTAATAGAATTAATATGATTGTCATCGTTTAACTCAAAACTATGTACAAATTTATGTATTAAATAAAGATATATACGCATTGTAATATCGATCCAAAATTTCATGAGGTACAATTTTAGTGCTTGGAGGTACTGGTGTGCCCGAAGTTACAGTAGATTCAAAGTTAATCTAGAATGTATAGATAAAAGTTGTTAAGATACTAGAACGTAAAAATTGTTCAATTGTTAATATTCAATTAAAAACAACTTAATGTAATGTTTCGCAAATTTGTAATAAAAATACCCTGATCCGTATGGAAACTTCGTTTCCGCTAATACCCAACGGATCAGGATATTTTATTACAGATTATATAGATGGAAAATATAGGAAATGTGAAAACCTCTAGCATTATTACAATAAGAATTTGTTTTCTTATTAAGTAAACATTCTTTAGGGCTTCTAAGTAAAGTTGTAGAGTAGACTGGACGAGTCTAATGATAGTTAAAACATTGAAATCGAACCACTAGATCATAATATACGCGTAAAAATGTTTTTAAACATTTATAAATTTTTTTTTAAAAAAAAATTTTTATATGTTTAAACCCATTTTTATGTGTATCTTGTGATTTAATAGTTCAATTTTAATGTTTTACGGTAACTATCATTAGACTCGTCCAGTCTACTCTACAACTTTACATAGAAACCCAAAGAATGTTTACTTAGTAAAAAAAAATAACTTTTTAATGTAAACATACCCCGATCACTATATCAAAATCACAGGTATTTAGCAAAATACTCTGATCCGTATGTGTACAGGCGAAAACTTCATTTTCGCTAATACCCAACGGATCAGGATATTTTTATTACCAATACTAGAGTTTTTCACATTTCCCATCTATATAACTTATATATAACTTATATAGTAATTTAAGGAAACGTTGCACTAAGTTGTTTTTACTATTGACTGGTGAATCACCAATTAAATAAATTATTACATTATAGATAGTTCCAGATGGAAGCATTATTGTTTGTGGTTTCACTCCCATAAATCGATACATCATATCCATGCTTTCTAATGGTATGTCGTAAGGTGCCATATGACTGGCATTGTAGAGAACTACATATGTAAGATTTCGTTCTGATATCATATGCCCATAAACAGTATTGTTAAAGGACATAGGTGTTGTAGTAGAATTCTAAATATAATTTTCAACATACCATAATTAGTTAACTATAGTGATTGTGAATAATGTTATAAAAATAATATGAGTGAATTAAACCTGAAACCCTTTTGCTTCGTTCCATTCTAATTCTTTAATCATAGCTTCGGTACCTTCTAGGTTACAAATGAGATCTTGATCACCACTATTTTAAAACAAATAGAAAATTAATAAACAATAGATTAAAAACTCATTAATTAAATATACATGCCTATACAATAAAACATTGATTTGTTTTAAAATAGATGGCAATAACTACAATATTACAAATAAATTTAATGTATTATTACTGTTGAACAAATAAACTTTAATATATGCACATATTTACATACCGTAATAGAAGGTGGGCTTGGATCATTGGTAAAACCACGACCTACTGTCGAACTACACTCTACCCAATCCCCACTTTTGTGCTCAGCATGAATGGCCTTTACAACATCATCTCTCTGATAAGTAATAAAAAAAATGTATATATATATTTGTCCGGATTAGGGGTTATTATCCTAATATATGCATAACGAACTATATTATTACCGCTAAATATTTATAAATAGTTGGGAGCTCATAAGGCCATCCAAGTCCACAAGAAGGATATGAATCTTTATAATCTCGAATATCATATTGATTTACACATGTCACTTTATTTCCAACGCTAAAAAAAACATTTAAATTTATTAATATGCACAAAAGAATTATAAATAATAATAAATAATGATAAATACGTTTCACGAGTACTAGCTAAAATCGTATAAAGAACCTCCTCACACAAGTCGTTATGAATAGTAAGACTCTTATTTTCAGCTGCCACGCAACTTGCAAGCTGATTCTCAGCAGCTTTCTATACATTACAAGTTAAATTAGTTATAAAATAACAGATTTATCATTCTATATATTATTATTATTATTATACCTTGTTGTCTTCACCACGTATTATATTATGTCTTGTCGCATAGCTATAATACGCCTTGTACTAATATTTTCCCAATTTTTGTGAATTATATAATTAAGATAGCGTAAATTGACTAAAGACAATACTATCATATAGTAAAACTCCTAAAATTATATATGCAATACTTTCAGGGACGACCATATGTTAACACCATACCTGTGGAATAGGATCAATCCATCCGTTTCCAATTGCTATGCCTTTGAGATTGTACTTTATCATAAATATATTTACATCAATATTAATAATGTGAAATGATACTTAAAACTAAACACTTTTTAAGAAATATAATCACTTTCTTACATGGTTTACGAATGTGCCTACTTCATTGTTTCGTTTCAAAATTTCAGTGGCTATGTAAGGTATAAAAGTTCCCGCAAAACTCTCTCCAGCAATATAAATCTTTGATGATAGTAAAGATTAAAAACGCTAAATTGTTATTATATTACGTTTATAAAACCAAAGTAAAACAATTTGACTTACATCATCCTTGCTGAATTCTGGAAATATATCAAAAAATTTATCAAGAAAAATCAAAAATTCCCCGGGAACCTATTGTGATTATAATATATATATAATAATATATAATAATATTATCATTGTTAAATATATATAATTTATATTATAAAATATAAATTGATCATTTTAGCAATAATAATATTCTAACCTGCGATACATTTGTTAAATAACCCGTGGAATTTACATAACTAAAACCAGTGCCAACCGGCTGATCAACTATATTGAAATAAATAAAATGATGTCAAAAAATGAAAATGATCAATCAATTAAAATGAAATGAAATCAAAGAAATAAAGTCAAAAAGAGAAATGAAATTTAGAATTACCATAAAGTACATTAGCAAATTCGATCCATGAACCATCAATAATTCTTAGTGATTGATCACTATTCATTCTCCATGGACCATTTTCGAGAAATAAACCGTCCATGCTTTAAATTTGACTGTAATTTAATAATTATAAAGAGCTTGATAACTAGTCAATCTAATAAAAAAAAAAATCAACGACTCACCTTGAACTAAATAATTAAGTGCCAGACTAAGAATAAATGCTAGTATACTAATGAGGGCTAAATGCTATAATTCGACTCACCACCCAGGACCTTTAAGGTAATGAGTAATTAGAAACCTCAATAATTGTATATTATTGTATATTATTTAATAATCTAGCATATACTTACCACCATTAAGCCATATGATCTAAAAAAACAGCGGAGAATGAAATAATCTATAAGTATATATGCGTGATATATGCATGATCTAATTAAAAACACTTACTAGTCTCGGTTTATCGCTAATGTGACGATTATGCACTAGCCAGAAGAATATATTAGAATTGGTGCTTTCCTCTACTGTAATATGCCTGTGCAATTTAATTATTTACGTTAATTGGCATCTAAAGTTCTTTCTAACACATAAAAAGTAACTTACCCGGCGTGCGATTTGACATTTGCATTGTCAGGAAGACCAGGTAAAGAGTATACATAATAATCTGCAGCTATAAGACGAAAAAACAATATTTTGTTCGGAGTGTACTTTAAAAGAAGTAAACGATTGATAGATTAAAAAGGTACAAACCACCAGCTGCACTCGCGGTTTTAATGGAAGCGAAAGCGAGCCCTAATGCTAAGATTAGGGATGTTAAAATATATTTCATATTTATTCAACAAAACTAAAAGAATTCTGACTAGTGTTCGAATGAAACATTATCTAAAAGACCCTGACTAATTTATTATTTATCTCCCAATTTGTTCTTCAAAGACAAAGTTTGACAACGTTACACAGCGTACGAGCCGATTTTTCTACCGTTTTTTTTTTTTAATTTTCCTTGCATGACTATTGTTATTCTAACAAGTTTATGATTTTAAGAGCGCATTAAATTGGTCGATTGCCACGTGGACAATTTTTAGAAGGTTCAAAAAAGAATAAGCCAAATGGCTGTGCTAAAAAAATAATCACCTGAGAACACTTGATATTATTGAAGCTTACTTTTTAAGTATTAGCAAAAGGCTAAAAAATTAAGAGATCGAATAAAATCTCACGTGGAATTGTGACGCAGTTTGTTATTACATAAACTTCTGATCTTCAATATCCTGTTTTTTTTTTTTTAGAATTCTCAACGTCAATAACGTCAATGCATTTTTCAGAGAAAAAATGATATCGATCGATATCTTTCAATGACTACAAGCCCCTTTTATATTAACAATATCAGGTTATATCAAGAAATCTAAAAATTTATTAAGGTTAAGGTTTCATTGGTACGTAGTTAATTTTTTTAAATACTATCGCTATTTCAGTATTTTCGTGGATTTTCTCCTATCTCGAACATCATTTCTTTGGATGGGTAGTAATTAGGGATAAAAAAAAACTCTTATGTTGAAGTTTACAAATTTAAACAGGAATAGATCAGAGTAACAATTTTGGAATCTTGGCGTCATTTCCTTTTATTAAAAACTAGCGTAAAAAAAAGCACTTCATTAGGGAACGAATATACCATGAATTTATGTGTATTGGTTCTGTTACATGTGACTTGATCTTCTTTTATGATTAATTTTACGTATAAATTAACGTTGCTCATCCATTAATGGAAGAAAAGTTGATAAAATTTTATTACACTTTTTTTTTTGCCTGTTTTTTCCTTCCTTTTTTTTTTATTTATTTAAAAAAAGATCTCATCTATTTCAATGACATCGGACTTCTTGCTTGGGCTTTCCCGTGATCTTGGCTTGCTTCTTCAGACTGGGGATGATTATAATGTTCTCATTCAAGCTGGTGAAGAACCTGATGTAAAATCATTTAAAGTACATTCGGCAATTTTACGCGTTCGATGTCCATATTTTCGTGCGGCTTTATCAAATAATTGGGCTAAAAAGGAAGAAAATCTTTTAGTTTTTAAAAAATCTAATATATCACCATCAGTATTTGATTTGATTCTCAAGTAAGTTGATTCAAGTTATTTATTTGTTAAAAGTAAGTATCATTGTATTACCATTATATTTAACAACTGCAATAATCATTTTGAATTCCCTACAGATATATTTATACAGGAATAATTATTGCGAATCCCAATGATCCCAATGTAAACGTGCTTAGTCTTTTAGTCGCTGCAGATGAATTAATGCTAGGAGAATACGTCACACTGATACAAGACTATCTTCTTACACAAGAAACGACTTGGTTACAAAAGAATATTGTTCATGTATTAAATGCAATTTTTAACCAAGAATCTTGTTCGAGACTTCGAGAATTTTGTATTAATGAAACATGCGCAGATCCAAATCTTGTATTTGGTTCAGACGCTCTCCCATATTTAGATGAAGATATTATCATTTATCTTTTAAAAAGAGGTGATCTTTGGATGCAAGAAATCGAAGTATGGAATAGCCTTATTAAGTGGGGAATGGCTCAAACTCCAAAACTTGAAGATCAACATATATATGATTGGTCATTTGACGATTTTAACACTTTAAAAAATACTTTAATTCGTTGTATTTCTCTTGTTGGCTTTTCAGGAATTTCATCAATTGACTTTTATTATAAAGTATGGCCATATAAAGCAATTTTACCTGACAATATAGCAGAAGAGATGGTACGATATTACATGGTACCTGGAGCTCAAGTAACATCTGCCATTTCTCCTGTTCGTTTTCCTGCAACAAAATTGGATCCAAATGCTCTTATCAATTCAAAACATGTAGCAATAATTTCTCATTGGTATATATTTAGATTTTAATGAGCTTCACAAACTTTCAGTTCGGATTGAATATTCATGCTTCTTGTTTAAAATCAAAGTCTGTCAAGCTAGTCCTGGATTATATGTATCATTGAAAATTTTTTTTTGTCAATCCAGAGGTTTGTGAAGACATGTTTTTTTTATGTATTCTTAAAATGGTTACTTACCAATATTTTTTTTTTATATTATTATTTTTTTTTTAATAATAGGATTGATAAAAAAATTGGTAATCCATGCGCATGTCAAGATATTTATGAATTCAAGTTACTTTTACGCGGGTCACGTGATGGGTTTACACCACCAGTATTTCACAAAAAATGTGGTAAAAAAGGACCATGTGTGGTAGTGTTAAGGATTAAAGGAACAGATCAAATTGTTGGAGGTTATAATCCAGTCGGGTGGAAAGGACAGGACATTTGGGAATATACAGAAGATAGTTTTTTATTCTCTCTTGGTAATGGGACAAGTGTAAAAAATGTCATATTGAGCCGTATAAAAAGTTATAATAGAGCGATATTTCAGGGTAAATTATACGGTCCAGTATTTGGATCAAGTGATTTAGAAATGAAGGATCAGTTTAACAAAGATTACAATTGTTGGACGCAAGCTAATTCCTATGAGCGTAGAATTACGAATGAAAGCAGGTTTTGTGTGGATGAGTATGAAGTTTTTCAAATTATTAAAAAAGAAGAAGAGACTTGAACTTGATAATAAGGAGATTTTTACTAAAAAAAAAAAAGTAGAGCAGGTGTATAATTGTTGATGCCATCATTTAATTACCTATTATGAACATTACTTTAATAGATATATTAACTTTACAATTAAGCATGGTAATCATTTTACTTTAATATTATATATTAGTATTTTTTTTAACGGTGGTAATTATTTACATTCATACTTTAAAGTCATAATGTGTATCTTTGTTATATAAAAAATAGCCTTCAAAATTATCTTATTTGGTATTTTCGTTTATACATATTTCTAAAATTTTATTAAAGAATGCTAATTCATCCGGCATAATTTAAAAATTGCTTATATACAAAAAACATACATTTCACTTGCGAAATTGAGTTAAACTTCAATTGATTATTATTATCAATATCATTAGCGACCAATGTTTGTTAAGCGTTTTACTTAAACTTTGTTAAATATTAAAGTCCATTGTCCGTCCGTCAACACTGGAAATCAGATCCTTCCATTTGACGATCACCTAATTTCATTTCACTATATAACTTATTTGTGCTTTTTGATAACGTATCGTTTCACTAATAAACAATCGCACAAATTTCACTTCTACCTCTAAACGAACTTTATTTAATATTCACTGTGCAAAAGCATCTCAAAATCATCTTAATCCCGATAAACTTTGCTTAGAAGACAAAATATACCTATATATCGTTTATTGGACGATCTTGAATTAAAGATAAGCGTTTTTGTTCAAGACTGCCTTATTATGTAAACTTTTATTACTAACTATTGAGTTTGAATAAGAATAGGTTTATTGTAAAAGAAGTTCCGAGTTTAATACTTGAATATGTTTGGTTCTTGCGTTGTGTTTGGGTCCGTCAGCCATAATAAGTTTTGGTTTATAGATCGTGGATTGTATTAATTGAGTTTGGGTTTATTAAAATGAATGCCGCCTTTACTCCACATTATATATCTATCTATATTATGTCCTCTATATATTTGAAATAAATTAATGCTTTTATATATTAATTTATAATCTTCGTACGAAGTTTCTTTTGCTTTCTGGTAATATTAAAGCGATGAATTTTTTAAAATTATGTAATTCAATGATTATTATAATCATAGAAATAATTTTTCACTTGATAAATTTTACCAATTCCCGTGACGGAGGCACGGTTATTAATTAATACTCACATGATAAATTACGGTACGTAATTAAAAATTTACATAAAATGCTATTAAATTAAGAATTCAAAAAAAATTTTTTTTTTTAAACATATTGATACTAAGAAAAAAAACGGAACATTCTTTTATAAAAGTTTACGATTTTTATTCAATTTGTAGAGATCCGTTTAAAATTCGTAAAAAATTGAAAACCCGTCAAAAAAATAGTAATGAAACCGAAAAGCAATGGTAACAATAACAATTGTAATTCGACAATGAACATGACAACGAAATGTTGATAAAAATTATAATTAAAATAAAGACCTGGCCAATTCATTTACTCGATCTCGATTCCTATTTACTTTGTCTATTTCGCAAGCAACCCAACAAACTAATAGTATTTAAAGATTCTTTAATTTTTAACTTTATTAAATATAAAGTTAAATTTTTTCTTAGCCATTAAAATTTTTTTTGTATACATAATAAAAAAATCTGGTATTTTTCTTAATTGTCCGGAGCGAAGCGGAAGGCTATATTTCTATGCACTTTGATGACTGAAATTGCGATTTTTGATGCATTTATAATAAAAATATCAAAAATGTAGTTTTGGCATTTTCCGTCTGTACCGCCGCGTGTCTATATTTGTACATCGTGTGAAGGGTGTGAAAAAATTATGCATGTTTACGCGTTCCGGTAAATTTCCTTCTGACAAAAAAAATCATGTAAGAGTTGAGCCTGATTAATTTAATTGGTTGATGATCATGTTTGATCTACATAAAACACTGATTGATAAGCATAACGATAGTACAATATATCCTAATTTTTCTCACGTATTCGATCTTTATCTTTTCTTCTACAGTACCTTTTCGTTTATTATTTTTTCGTTGTACCCAAGCACCCAAGCACCTTCACATAGGTTTAGAGAAGTTAGATCGTTTCGATGGTTCCGGTCTAACCGGGTGAATTATTGATCGGTCGTCCTATGTGATTGTACTTTCAACTTCTTGTTTGTTAAGTGTCCTCTTTCACTTTACAAAACACCCTTAAAGATCATTTTCTTTCTATCTGATTTT